AAATCTTCCTTTACTTTCTTCTTTATTTGTTTATTCAATTCTTTGATACCATTAGTGTTTGCTTTTCTTCGCTTAGACATGTGCGTCTCATTTTCATTAATCGTTTTGTTCCATCACTTATTCTGTCTTCTTTATTTTTCGTTTTCTTTGTAACAGTCAGTCCTGCTTTCAAGAGCTTTAGTTGCATTTTTTTATTAATTGTGTTCATGTCGGAATATTATTATTGATAATGTTCTACAAATTCTTTTCTAAAGACTTCTCTGCACTCATCCTCCCTCTGTCGTATTTTAATATGATCTATCTGATTACAATAATTATAGCCTGTTTCTACTGGTTTTCGTCCGTTTAACACGAATCCTTGTTATTAAAAGGCGATGATCGCTGCTAGTTGTAAGTCGATTAAGAGCAGTTATATCTTTAAAAATGTCTTTGTTTCCACAAAAGAAGTAATCAATCTCGTTTTTCTTCTTTTTATCGGGAGATATCCACGTCCATTTTCGGTTTGCCGGTTTCTTGTAGTGTGTGTTCATGGTATATAAATTTTGTTGTTCTAAGAAGTTATATAATTGTTCTCCTCTCTCATTTCGTAGGCCTGTGTAAAGCCTGTGTAAACTTGTTCGTATAATTTTTAGGCGTCATCTCTGTAACGAAATTGACTACAAAAGAAGCCATTTATATATTTAAATATTCACCACTTCTTACTATAGTATTATTTTAAAATAGTGATGTTAAATATTTAGCCATATTAAAATATTAACAGAAGAATATATATGTATGTATATATATATATATATATATATATATATATATATATATATATATATATATAAAGATCACTCAGACGAGTGGTGGGTTCTTATATCGGTCTCAAGGTGGAGAAATAAAAGACAAAGTTTTGAGAAATGAGAACCACACAATCATGGAAACGATGTTAATTGTTACCTTAAAAAGACATGTAGCAGTCAAAGTTATTTACAATTATGTATATATATATATATATATAAGCAAACACTGTGTTCAACAACTATTCCTGTTTATGTGATTGTATATAAAATGAACGACAACTTGGATGTAACGTGAACGACATTACCTACACGACTTACGGATCTTTTATGTCAAGAGAACCGATTTTATCTGTTTGTTTACCGATAACCGACAGCACAATAACATGTTTTATTAAGAAGCTTATTTTGGATACCAGTATCTATATCAGTCTAAGGAATGCTAATTAGGATCATTACAAATTATTAAGTAAAAAAAGGACATTGTATTGAATAATAAGGTATAAATGGCTATAAACGTATATATATATATATATATATATATATATATATATATATATATACAGGGTGGTGAATCGTCAAACGGGCAACGGGCCATAGGAAACTCAATGGGAAATTCTAAATTGTTGAATTCCTGCTTCCCTAATTATTTTACACCAAAAGTCCTGGGAAACTATTTGTAGAGGACTCAAATATGTATCGAAAACAATTGTTAAAATTGTTCTACGACTTAAACGTATTCCAAAATTTTGCTAAAATATAATACATTTTTCAGGCCACCCCTAAAAGTCAGGCCAGACGTCGTAAAAAAATGTGTATTACGTGTAGCGATTTGTCATATTAACGTTTCTAATATTTGACAATATTTAAATCAACTATAAAATATTTATCTATGATTTAAATGACCAATATTTTTATTTCTTGATTTATTGTTTAAAAAAATATTAAGTTGATTAAAAATTGTACTCAGTTAAGGAGAAAAGAGCAATAATAAAAATGTTTTATTCATGTTTTTTTATAACATTTGTTATAGTTTTATGTTTAGAAATTATCATAAATTATTTTTAGGAATAAAGATCACAGTAACAGTATACAGGGTGGTGAATCGTCAAACGGTCCATAGGAAACTCAATGGGAAATTCTAAATTGTTGAATTCCTGCTTCCCTAATTATTTTACACCCAAAGTCATGGGAAACTATTTGTAGAGGACTCAAATATGTATCGAAAACAACTGTTAAAATTATTCTACGACTTAAAGGTATTCCAAAATTTTGCTAAAATATAATACATTTTTCTGTGAAAAAATGTGTATTACGTGTTGCGTTTTGTCATATTATTGTTTCTGATATTTGACAATATTTAAATCAATTATATTACATTTATCTATGATTTAAATGGCCAAAATTTTGTGATTTATTGTTAAAAAAAAATTAAGTTGATTAAAAAATGTACTCAGTTGAGGAGAAAAAAGCAATAATAAAAAATTTTTATTCATGTTTTATTATAACACTTGTTATAGTTTTATGTTTATAAATTATCATATATTATTATTAGAAATAAAGATCACAGTAACAGTATATTGGAATTCATTGAATTGTTGTATAACTTAACATGGAATTAAATTTCAGTGAATTAGAATATCTTACGTTAAATAAAGATCCGGTAGTGGCAGGAAAAGGTTCGCGCTATTGCCTGAGTACAACATTATGCGATTTTTCGTCAACTGAGTACATTTATATTGATCGATTTGTAAACAATATAATTTATTGTTCACAAAGTAATAATGTTCATTAGTAGTAGTATTTAGTAAAACTCATTGTTTATAATTTAATCATAAAATAAAAAAATTGACAATTCAAATTGTCAAACATCTGACATAAATATGATAAAACACAAACGTAATAATATATATTCTTGCATTACGTGTGGCCTAACTTTTAGGGGTGGCCTGAAAAATGTATTATATTTTAGCAAAATTTTGGAATACGTTTAAGTCGTAGAATAATTTTAACAGTTGTTTTCGATACATATTTGAGTCCTCTACAAATAGTTTCCCATGACTTTTGGTGTAAAATAATTAGGGAAGCAGGAATTCAACAATTTAGAATTTACCATTGAGTTTTCTATGGTCCGTTTGACGATTCACCACCCGGTATTGAAATTCATTGAATTGTTGTATAACTTAACTTAACATGGAATTAAATTTTAGTGTATTAGAATATCTTACGTTAAAATAAAGATCCGGTAGGGACAGGAAAAGGTTCGCGCTATTGCCTGAATAAAACATTATGAGATTTTTCGTCAACTGAGTACATTTCATTATATTGATCGATTTGTAAACAATATAATTTATTGTTCACAAGGTAATATTGTTCAGTAGTAGTAGTATTTAGTAAAATTCATTGTTTATAATTTAATCATAAAACAAAAAAAATGACAATTCAAATTGTCAAACATCTGACATCAATATGATAAAACACACACGTTATATATTCGTGTATTACGTGTGGCCTAACTTTTAGGGGTGGTCTGAAAAATCTATTATATTTTTGCAAAATTTTGAAGTACATTTGATTCGTAGAATGGTTTTAACATTTGTTTTTAATTCAGATTTTAGTCCTCTACAAATCGTTTTTTATGACTTTTGATCTAAAATAATTAGGGAAGCAGCAATTCAACAATTTAAAATTTCCCATTGAGTTTCCTATGGCCCCTTTGACGATTCACCCACCAAGATTGTTTTGATGTTTAGAGGAAGAAGAGTTCTACTGATTTTGTCAGTGACACCTTTAATAAAATGTAGAAATTGTCGGATGACCTATGATTGTTGTTGCTAAGTCTTGTGAAACGGGAAATGAGAGTGTTGACCAGTGGATTGAGTTGGGCGGGGTGATGATGTGACTGGGCATTAAGATATCGGTTTGTATGAGTGGGTTTCCGGTATACGGAATAGGAAAAAACTGTGAGGTAAGTTTTTCTGAATAAGGACATCAAGGAATGGCAAAGACGCTTCAGACTCAATTTCCATCTTTAATTAAATACTAGGATGTATTTCATTCAGGTGAAAGAGGAAGAGATCTAACGCGTCCTTACCATGAGACCAAATGACACAAGTGTCATCAAATACCGTAGCCAGTAGGTGTGTTTGAGATTTGATGAGGACAGGGCTGCTATTTCGCAATGTTTCATGAAAATATCAGCTATTACGGGAGAGAGGGGAGATCCCATTGGGGCACCTTCGATTTGACGATAGAAAGATAATTTTAAATAAAAATATTCATTAGCACTGTTTGTGTAGAATAAACCATTCTTTTAGAAACAAATTTTGAAGCAACTGGTGATTTTGAATGTCATTAACGCGCGAAATAAATTTTAAATAAAATTTCTACAAACTCGACTGTAAAATTTTAATATGTATTGTGCAGAATGTCCTATTACAAAAATCAAAATTCAAAATCGATGTACTTTTACATTACAAAAGACATAAAACATTTAAAACGGCTTTTTTTTTAGATTACTCAGGTATGATTAAGGTATCAATATCGTCTTCGTGAAAGCATTTCCAGAAATGTCTAAGATTTTTATTATCAAAACTCAAAATCGAAATTTCATGTTTCGAAGTTTCAGAAGGTTGGGGTGTACGAATGGAAGTGACTGGTTAACGAAAGTGATAAATTATATTGATCTCATAAGAATCGTAAACAATTACAAAAAAAGCACAAAGTATATTTATTTAACAGATAATTGGAAAATTACTTCATTTGGTACAAAATACAAAAATTGCATACGATAGTTGCACTCTTCACCTTTAAAACTAATTTTGATGCTTGTTAATAGGAAACTCTCATCAAAAGATTGTTGAAAAAGAAGTTGAAATAATACAAATTTTATTTGAAATTTATTTCGCGCGTGTAACTGACATTCAAAATCACCGGTCGCTTCAAACCTTGTTTCTAAGCAAACAATTTATTCTAAACGTGCTAATATTATATTACAAAATTATCTCAGCTACATTTTTTATTTAAAATATTTTTTATGGCGTACAAATTTTTGGTAAATTAATTTTTTTCGTGTCCTGCTTCCCACAGCGAAACTTGATAGTTCCTAAATATTAGCATTCCTTATTGCTCATATCTGTTATTTTTTCTGTAATAAAATTTTTTTATAATTCTAAAAGGTCCGTATTTTGGGAAAACAATAATTTTCTGTTATATAAATGCTGTAGTGTTTATTTGTATATTTTAAAATTTAAGTTTAATTCACTGTTACATATTAGTTTTAAAATTATTTAAATAAAACAAAAAACTGATATTAATAATGAATTTATAAGAAAAGATAATACTTCGATCAGCATTAGAGGCCACCTTTTTCTTTAATCCATGTTGAGAAATACCCGACATCGGCGTAAGCTGAAACATATTTCCTACAGTCTCCTTCTCCCCAGGATACAACCCCAATTAATGTACCGTTGTGTACTAGAGGTCCTCCCGAATCACCCTGCAAAAGATAAAGAGGTACAAATAATTTTTATCGTCGGTACTGATGTTAAAAAATATAATATTACAGCATCTTGTGCTTCATTGCTCATCCGATTATTTCATCAAACGAATAATAAAAATAAATAAAAGCAATAATACTAACGCCACTATGATTTAAATTATACTGGATCAAACGGATATCAGAGAAACAACTCCCCCTTCAGTAGCTAAAATACAAGAAGCAGTTACCAGACTGAAAAACAACAAGTTACCTGGATTAGACAACATTAGCGCAGAATTAATAAAGGAGGGTGGAGACTTCCTATTGAATGCGATACACGAACTATACTCAATTATAGTAGAAGTGTTACACCCAGAAGGAATAATTTCTTGAACTTAATTTTTTAGCAACAGAATTACTATATTTAAAACATGCTATGAGAACAATGCCAATATTTCATCTTTTCTACTTTTTGTAAAAAAAAAAGTTTTCTTTAATTTTTTTTGTGAAGAGACCGATTTGTAAAAACTGGTTCGTATAGAAATTTTTGGTTATTATTTCCCAGTCTAATTGTATTCAGTGTAAGAAAATGTCTCGAGTTCGAAGACACTAAAATTACTACCATGTTATTGATTTTGACAGGGGTAGAATTATTGAGTTTAGAGATATGGGTTTGTCGTATCACGAAATTGGCCATCGCGTTAATTGTACTACATTGACGGTTATGCTTGTCTGTCTTGTGTGGACAAATGAAGGTAGAGGAACACAAAGAAAATCAACTGGTCAACCGAGACATACCACAGAGCGTCAAGATAGGTGCTTTAGATTACTGGCTCTGCATGACCGTTTTGCTACTTAGCGTCAAATTGCTGAGTAATGGTTTGAAGTAGTAACTAGACCTGTAAGTATAAGTAGATTATACCGTCAGATTCGAGTCTTTGGACTGGTTTCATTTTGCCCACTGTTCCTTTGCCTGCGGACCACTGTCATCAATGTTTTAATCGGTGCAGAGGATGGCAGCATTGGGTGGCAAAATGGTGTAATATAGCATTTAGCGATGAATCACGATTCTGTTTAGGAATGCATGAAAGTCGTAGGATGGTAAGACGCCACCGTGAAGAGAGACGAGATATCGCGTTTGCTGTTGAGAGGCATGTATACAAGATAGTGGGAGTAATGGTTTGGAGGGTTATTACCTAAGGTAGCCCATTAACAGTTGTGTTTATTCAAGGCAATATGACAGCTGCGCGTTATGTTGATGACATTTTACAAACCACTTTACTGCCTTATCTCGACGGCCGTCGACACACATATTCAGCAAAACAACGCGCGTCCCCATTTTTCTTGTCAAACTACAGACTTTCTTCAAGAAGCTGAAGTCAATGTTTTTCCGTGACCGCCTCGTGCTCCGAATTTTTATCCTATCGAACATGTATGGGATATGATGGGAAGGAGACTGTCCAATTTGTACCATCCTCCACAGACTGTGTCACAGTTAATGCATGAAATTCAAGTTGCTTAAAACGAGGTGCCACAGGCAGACATCGATCATCTCATTTTGTCAATGCCTAGACGTATACAGGAGTGTATTCAGCTACGGGGTCGCCAAACACATTTATAATTGTTTTTTGATTACTTGTTATTAAAAATTCTTGACAACGTTATCGTGTCATTCTTGATATAAACCTACCATGTTGCCAAAAAATTAAGAAATTAAGAAATTATTTCATCTTGATGTAACACTTTTAATGTCACTGAGTATAATAGTGAACATATGGAATAATAAACAACTACCAAAAGACTGGAATACCGGAGTAATTAGTCCAGTATATAAAAAGGAGATCAGTTTCAATGTAAAAACTACCGGGCAATAACGCTACTAACTGTGGCATATAAAATACTGTCAAATATTGTGTATGACCGATTATTATTCCGAACAAATAGTTGGGGGATATCAATGAGATTTCTGTAGGCAGAAGTCCACAACAGATAAGATCTTCGTCTTGAGGCAAATCTTGAAGAAGACTAGTGAATTTAACATAGACACATATTATCTTTTCATTTATTTTAAGATTGCCTATGATAGCATCCATCAAGAATTTCTAATTCATGCACTGAAACAGTTTAATATTCCAACTCAACTCATTGATATAGTAAAAGAAAGACTTAAAGTACAAAGCAAAATTTGAATTTAAACATTGAATTCGAATTTAAATCGTTAAAACTCACTAAGAGATAGAATCCATGAGAGAACGGGCCTACGACAGGGAGACGCCCTATCTTGTATTCTATTTAACATCACATTCGAGAAAATAATTAAAGAAACAAAAGTCAAAACCAGAAGAACAATTGTAACAAAAAGTGTACAAATATTTTCATTTACAGATGATGTTAATATCATAGCTAGAAGCGAAAGAGAGATGATAGAAGCATTTAATGCCATAGAAAGACTATCCAATAGCATCCAAAGGACTTCAAAAGACTTCCTACACGCTACCCTCAGATATCAAATGCAGGACAATTATTCCATATTGCAGAAGATCGAAAAGCCCTCGCGATGGTGATCGTCAACGTCGGATAATTTTGACATGGCGCGCGAAGAAAAAGAAGGATATACATTAGCTGGTGAAATAATGGGATATGTGCCAATTGTACTGGCAATTATTCGCAAACATAATTGCTCATATTTTTGTCTGGATCAAAGATAGGTTTCAATTGAACAAGCCTTGTATACTTGATAATCACGACAACATACAACACTATATAATAACACATATATAATCTAACACTCATATTGTCTTGTTAATTGCGTGGTATGTTATACTGGTCCTACGTACAAAAGATGTCAATACAACAAGAACACTTTTTTATTTGTAACTTCTTCTTATTTTTCTTCTTTTTATGTAGACGTGACTCTGTCTAAGTTTCAAGGTACCTCCAGTAAGTTATAATACTCTATTTGCTATAATTCGGCTTACATGATCGTTTAATTTTACTCTTCTATTTCTTACCCAATTCTTGATGTTCTCCACCTTTCATCTACGTCGCATATCTGTACTTCTAGCTCTGTCCCAAAGTGTCTAACATCCTTTTCGTCCTCTCTGTTTCATGTTAATACCGCATATGTCGTTATTGGTGTAATGACCGGTTTGTAGATACTTGTTTTTTGATATTTTTATTTCTCCATATTGTTTTATTTAGGCCACCTGCGGCTCTGTTTGATCTATTCACTTAATATTCTACTTTAGTTACGAACTTTCCATAGCTAAATATTGTGATGCCTAGATTTTTAAATTTCATTACTTGTTCTATTATCTGACCTTTCAGCCCAAATTTATATCGGCATGCGTTGTACATCATTTACACTTTGAAAGAGTATTTCGTCGACTTCATAGCAGATTATTTTAAGTTGTTTTTCTCTCATTTGGTATTCTTTTTTAGTTTTTAATTTTTTTATTATTATTTTATTTATATTCACGTTAAACAATAGAGAACTCAGTGAATTTTTCTGAGCTTTACATCTGTTAAGGCTTATTATGGATCAGACTTAAAGATATACCATGTTCTACAGGTGATAGTAAGCAGAGTCAAACTCAAAAAAGTGCAGAAAAAAATTAAAATTATACGATCTACGAGCGCTAAAAGACCTTAATACGAAAATAATGGTGCAAGCCAAGTTAAATGCCCAAATGACTTTGGTAAGAGACGACTCAAACTAAGATCAAACTATTAAACAGATTAAACAAATAGTTAAAAGTGTAAAGGATAAACACTTAAAGGTAGATACATTAATCGTGGATGAAAGATAAGGTTCTAAAACTAATAAACGAAAGAAGAAAAGCTAAAACTGACTAAGAGATATATAAAATGACAATTATAACAATAAGAAGAAAAATCAGAAAAGCGCAAGAAAAACAAGTAATGAGCAGATGCGAAGTAAGTAAGACTACAGCCAAAGTACGATACTCACAATGTACATAGGGAAGTTAAAGAATTCGCAGATGGACTAAAATGGAGACAGAAAGAAAATTTGATTTTCACAAAAACATCATATTGGATAAACATTGTAAAATAATAACGTTAAAAGAAGACATAGAAATACTGTTTAAAGACCAAAGAGATAACACTTTTGAGTTAGAAGAAGACGGTAATAATAGACTAGGAATATTACAGGTGAAAGTTTATTCTGCCAGAACACAGCTAAAGGATGTCAAAGCAGCAGGTCCCGATAATATACAACCAGAACTACTTAAAGCAATTGCAATAATAACAGAGATGATTAACAATATATACAACTCTGAAAAAATACCAACTGACTGACTGAAGTTTAAGTTTATTGCAATTACAAAAAAATCATTTTTTAGTGATAAATGCCATTGGTACGAGAAAGGCATTGTTCTTAAAGTCTTATTCCGAAGATGCAGAAATGTTAACTACGTTAAATACGCTTTTCCGGTTAATTACGAGAAACGGAATAATCGAGAACAGCATGCCGAGATGATGCAAATATACTAAAAGAAGCAGGCATTAACAACCACGATCCAAAATAAATAGAAATATTTATTGAAATTAGACCGCAAATCTTAAAATTAAAGCTGATCACATGGAGTATGTGAAAATGATGATAACTCATGATAACTAGCAAGAAAAAAATAACAAAAGTTGACTTGTCAAAGAGACGCCAACAAGAGTTGACGTCAACCAAACACGAGTAAAAAGTGTGCCTATATACCTATATGTGCACTTGAAAATATCTTCCATGATCAGCGCCAGAGTAAACAGTTTGAGTGAGATTGTATTTCCTGGTCTTAGTCGTATAATAAAAATTATTGTAAATCTTAGCCTGGCTTAATTTTCATATTGTTATTTTAGTATAAATCTTGGATTATATTCCGATATTTTAAATCTATAAATCAAATAGATCTAAACATAATTAGAATTCTTTACTAGAATCAGAAAGCAAATCTCAGAGTTGAAGGTGAACACACTGACTATGTGAAAATCATGCGTGGAGTGAGGCAAGGCTGTATTTTGTCTCCTCTTATCTTCAACCTGTATTCTGAAAAAATATTTATCGAAGCTTTACACGAAACTGAAAAATGTATTCTAATAAATGGTTACCGGCTCAACAACATCAGATATGCAAATGACACCATAGTATTTGCAGACAACTTAGAAGACCTACAAGTTCTTATGAACAAAATCACGTATTACAGTAAACAATGTAAACTCAATATAAACGTTAAGAAGACATAGCTTATGATAATTAGCAAGATAAGCATAACAGATGGTCAATTCTACGTCAACCAATCCCCTGTAGAAAGAGTGACGCAACTACCTCGGCATCATAATAAATGAAGAATATACCAATAACCAGGAGATTAGAGCAGGCATCGGTAAAGCTAGATCCACCTTCTATCGGATGGGGGTCTTCTTCAAGAGTCACAACCTCTCTCTTGATACTTATGATGTTGAATCGTGGACATTCAACGAAGATATGTGCAGAAAACTAAAAGCATTTGAGATGTGGCTATCAAAGAATTTACAAGATGTGTGAGTTTTAGATTAATGAGACACAGACAAGAATATAGATGTCTATGCATGTTTTATTGATTATAGAAAAGCATATGACTGCGATAACCATCAAAAGATGATTGAATTTTTAAGAACAACTGGAATTGACGAATAAAACTTATGAATTATCTCAGAACTATATTGGCACTATACGGCAGCAATTAAAATAGATCACACAATATCCGAAGATATACGATATATTGCGTCTTATCACCACTATTATTTATTCTGTAATTGTAATCTTTATTTAGAAAAGCATTAGACGAGGTTTAAGGTGAAATCAAGATTAATGGAACCAACATAGACAACATCAGGTACGCTGATGATACCGAAAATACCAAAAAACGTACAAGGGGCAAATAATAGAACAGGTAATTTCCATAAAATATTTGGGAGCAAATATCAACAGCCAGTGTAACAAAAAAATCCTGTTAAGAATCGAACAAGCGAGGAAAACACATATGAGCATGAAAACACTTTTTACTAGGTCAGACGTTAGTCTAGAGCTCAGAATTCGAATGATCAGATGTTGCGTTTTCTCTGTTCCGCTGTATGGACTCTGAAACAGAAAAAAGTATAGATGTCTTTGAAATGTATATATATATATATATATATATATATATATATATACAGAGGGATGCTAAGAATTCCATGGATACAAAACGTTACCAATGGTGAGGTATTTCGGCGCATTAGAAAACAAAAAATTACTCAGCATAATCAAAGAGGAAAACATACAATACTTGGGTCATGTGCTGGGAGGTTTAAGATATAAATTACTTTAAATCATATTAAAAGGTAAAGTGCAGGGCAAAAGATCAGTTGGAAGACGCCGGAACTTGTAGCTGAAAGACCTGAGAAGATGGTTTGTCTGATCATCCACAGGAATCTTTTGTACAGTCGTTTCCAATGCTACAATTGCCATTTAAATCGTCAATATAAGAAAGAACACGGGGCAATACGAAGAAACTGAAGTAGGTGTAATATTAGCACTGGATAGAGATAAGTGATAAGAGATAAAATATCCTATATCTGTCCACACATCTGTCTTCTATAACATGAACAAAAGTAATGAGTCTAATATGAATTAACAAAAGATACAAATAAAAAAGTTTTCGTATTAATCTTGTGAATAATTAAGAAATATATTTAGATTAAATATTACGTAGCATGCAGATTTTTTTTCTTCTATATCTCCCGCGCATATCATTCGGTCTGTAACTAATCCATTATAAGTATCATCCTCATTAAAAAGGTTATTGCAGGTTTGTCGACCTATGATTTTCATGGATGCTTCCAGTAGATAATCCAAATATGTGCCATTCTAAAAAATAAAATCAATATGTTAAAATAGATCCATACTAAAAATAAAAATATAACAAGGCGATAAACTCGGGTTCATTCGGAAAAATATTTCGATGAGATTTTTTTGTATATTCACTTTCATGTGATACAACAGTATAAGGTTAAAAAGGTCACCTAAGTCGTTAAATTTTTTTTTAACAATATTTTTAAACAAATTTTAACAAGGAATTTTTAATGTTTTGAACCATTCTGAACAAAATAGGATTTATATAGTTTATCTGTAAAGTTAATCGTTTTCCATTAATAAACAATTAAAAAAAAATCGCAAAATGGCGATTTGCTTCTGTTTCTTCTTTTTAAGCCTGTTTATTCTTCAATATTAGCCTCAAAAATTGTTTAAATTGTCGCACCATCTTCTTATTGGTCTGCCAATACTTTTTGTTCATTTGGTAACTTAATCTCATGCTATTCATACTATTCTATCCTCTGCCATTCTACTGATGTGTTCGTTCCACTCCTGTTTTCGTTTTGTCACCCATCCATTTATATCTTTCATACTGCATGCTCTTCTTATGTTTTCGCTTGTCTCCCTATCCGACAGACTCCTCCCTGATATTCGTCGGAGTATTTTTATCTCTGTTGTTTTTAGAAGTCGTCTCGTTTTAAATGTGTCAGGTCTTGTCTCAGCCGTGTATGTTAATATCGGTCAACTTGCTGCTTTATAGATTCCTGTTTTTGTGTCTTGTCTTAGTTGTTTGTTCTTCCAGATGAAGTCATTAAGAGAATCCGACGCTTTACGTGCCTTTAAGCTTTGTTGTTGTACTTCTTCTTCAATATCTCCGTAACTAGTTATATCTATTCCCAGATCTAAACCTTGCTTTCTGCTTTATTATTTTCCCATCAATTTCAAATTCACACAGTAGTGGGTAATTAGATGTTGTCATACATTTGGTTTTTTTTTCTGCTGATATTATCATATTGTCATATTATGACCAATTTAGTCCCAAGTGATGTTATGAGGGTAGATGGGAACGAAGTACATCAGGTCTTTAGCTATATCTATTTAGGGCATGAAATTAGAATAGGAAAAGACAACCAAACTTGTGAGATCCAGCGTCGCATAGGCCTGGGATGGGCAGCATTTGGCAAGATGCGAGATATTCTAAAAGGAACGCTACCGATTTGCTTGAAGAAAAAGGTTTACAACCAATGCATACGGCCAGTAATAACATATGGTTCCGAAACAATAACTTTAACCAAACATTCTGCAAATAAATTGAGAGTAACCCAAAGAAAAATGGAAAGAGCAATGTTGGGAATAGCTAGAAGATATATGGTACCAAATAGGATAGTGAGAGAGAGGACTAAAGTGACAGATGTCATAGAAAAAATTGCACAAGCCAAATGGAGATGGGCTGGACATATAGCACGTTTAAATGATAATAGGTGGACCAAAAGACTCATAGAATGGAGACCTAGAGAAGACAAAAGACATCGAGGCAGACCACCAAAAAGATGGATGGACGACTTGAGAAAAACAGTGGGAAATTGGATAGAGAAGGCGCAAGATAGAGAACAGTGGAAGAACATGGAGGAGACCTATATCCAACAGTGGATGCAAGAGGTTGAGGAATGATGAATGATAATGATGATTATCATATTGCATTTCTTAGCTGTTGTGTTGAAGATATGTGTTAATCTTTAGAGCTCGTCTTCTGTCTCGGCGATTAATCCGACCTCGTCTACATAACAAAATATTTGGAGTTCTTTGTTCTTCATTCTGTAGCATTGTTATATTAAAGAGAAGTGGGCTTAACGAGTGACCCTCTCTGACTCCGCTTTGTACTGGTATACACTGTGTTAGTTTTCCATGCCTTTATTCGATTATGGAGGTAGATGTTTTCGATGGATTCTATAATATTGATTGGTATGTTTCTGTTATACAGTAAGTGTAAGATGTCTTCAACTTGGATGCGATCAAAAGCCTTTGTCAGGTCTATAAAACATAGATATGCTGGTTTATTGTACTTGATAGCCTTTTCTGTTATTATCTTAGTACAAATACGCTGTCTACGCAGGATCTGCAAAGATATGGCGATTTGCAAGGTTTAAAAACAGAACTAAAAAATATTATTTTTGAATTCACCAAGGACCTAAATTTTAATGCAAACCTTGTTCTATCATTTTACTATAAGTATTTTGGTCTTAAGGTTAAAACAATATTTTTTAATCGTTAATGAAACGTTCACGACAGGACAGGAGTTCGGGCTGCGGCGTGTATTATAGGGAGAAACCAGATCTATGGTACAAAGTTTGGCTGGTTTAAATTCTCATTGTAAAAATGACCGCCCGCTCTGCCCAGCGTGGTTCATTAAAAATTAAAAACATTGTTCTAAATAAGCCTAAAATTTTCATGGGGAGCTGATAGAAGAATACGAAGTTTGTCCGTGCGCTATGGACTAATGGCGATTTGTTTGTCGTTGACGATCGTTGTCGTTGTATAGTTCGTGTCTATACTGTTAAGTTTGTTTTATGTGCGTTTATTTTTCCGATTTTCAACAAAACAGAATAAAATAATGGATGTAGTTGTGACAGCAGATCATTTAGTTGGTGATACGGACCGCGGTAGCAAAAAAGAAAAAGACATTTAACTTCTAAAGAGCGTAAAAGCAATGTTAGGTAAGCTTCATTGTCTTACAGGTTACTTTTTATTTTGGTATTGTTTACACAGTATCATCTTAAGTTCTTATGTTGTTGTCGTTAATATTTTAATATCATTCTCTTTTCAAGGCATTCAAATCATTATCCTAATTTGGAACATTTTGTTGATTTTTCCTGTAAGTCGAATAAGATCGTTTCGAAAAGATGTTTGCTCTAATGAAGTATCCGAAGACGATATTAGGACAATTAGAAGTATGTTTTATCAAACAATAAACAAAAATGTAACAGTTAAGACTATTCGCAGATGGTTGTGAGATTGTGCAGAATAAAAATGCCCACATGATGCATATGCTCATGCTATGGTTATACAGAGATGCCCCACAAAATATTAAATTTGTCGTACTTATTTTATAAAATCTAAAACACAGCGGACCGTGTTTTCGGGCAAATAGGAAAAGTTACACGATCCTACAGTACAATAAAAACCCCTACACAATATTATAACATTTACTCCAAGAAGGAAGAAGTTAAACAACTTGGTAGAGATTGGTCTGTTTATGATAAAAAACTGCATTAACCTGTTTAAAAAAAATTAAGGAATCAGTGCAGCCAAACGAATTATTATTAAGAGATCACAAAATAAAAACAATATTTTGCTTAAGTCCGAACTGTTCTACAGAAATGATAATCCATCCAAACAATTCCAAACATTATTGAAACGTAGAAAGAAGCTTTCGACTTTACACTTAACTACTGTAGAACTCCAAAACGAAATTAAACTAAAAAAACTCTTGAGCCTGTCGAAACTATTAGTAGAACTGTCACGGGTGAATTGGGTCAATGATCCTGAGCTAACATGGTTACAACCAATTCACAAACAAATGTAGCATGTGAAGAGAAAAGCAAAATATTAAAGGGTTTATTAGGTATAAACGAGCAAAAAAACTTATTCATACATAATACTTACATAAAACAAAATTTGTGATGTAGAAAACAACATGATTAGGCGTAATTAAGTAAACAAACATATATATTTCTAGATAAAATAAAAAATATACTACAGATAGGTACCTACTATTTTTGAAGACAGGTCACGCAAACCTTTCTACTACACTCCAAACAAATAGCATTTGAGCAACGCACACATTTATAATTTGTCTTCCTCATTTTTGATGATGGACAAATGCTACACAACTATCTTTTGGGAAGCTTATCATCTGGAACATTGTCGCCGATATTCTCGACAGGCACTTCGGGATTTATTTCCAAAAAAATCTCTATCTGCTATTTAAGGTCTCGGTTAAGATTTGTTTCAAGTCTTTGCCTTAGATGAGGCTGAAGTAGTTCAAATGCCAAATCTTTTACAAATTTAAAACGTGGAAGTAATTTAATACCTTTGTAACAAAGATAAAGGATGTAACTGTTGACTGAACGTATATTTATAAGTGTATAAAATACGGCTAAGGGTCTGGCGGCTTGCACTATAATTGGCACATTTCATGTCTAAAACATCAACTCTCGATTTTGTACTGTTATAGTATCGAATTATTTCTGGTTTTGCTAGTTCATTGTCTTTGCTGTGATGCATAGAGGATAATAAAAGAATAGCTCTATTTTTTTTTCGGTACACATGATATCAAGGTTATGTCATTGGAGAAACCATAGAGTGTTGTACCAATTTCCCTACTTTTATTAGCCTGGAATTCCAAAGTAACTTCCCGCTTATTTTTATTTACTCTACCCACATACGTGAGGTGGCGTTTTTGCAACTCTGTGACTAACTCTATTTAAGAAAAATATTGATCAGCAGTAATATTTCGGTTAGAGCCCTCTATTGATTTAAATAGTCGAATGATACATTGAGCAAATTTGGAAAGCTTCAGTTCTTCTTCTGAAAGTCCAACACCATCCGAATATTTCTCTGAGTATATATATATATATATATATATATATATATATATATATATATATATATACAGATTGAACGAAATAAATTCGGAACATAGGAATATAATGTATTTCGGCTCAATTCTGCTGTAGCTGGTTGGCCAACAAAAGATTGTCAAATAATTATATTATAAAAAATCCCATACTTCAGCGGGCTGCTGGATTCTGAACTCATAAAAATTGAAAGCTACACATAAATCTACGATTTTATTATGCTGTCAAACCAGTTATAGTCCAGGAAATGTAGCATTTCACCTCGCAATTTTTTCGTGCGGCGTGGATTGACTTGAAATTTAACAGAAGGTAGGTAATAGCCTAAGGATCAAAATCTATATCGAACCAAAGTTCGCCAAAGCCTAGGGGGTGGTTGCCGCCCTATCTCCGGGGTGAAATTTTTTTTTACGTTTTAACTACATGTTTCGATTAGAAAAGTGATTCTAAACAAAAAATGTGCTATACATTTTTTTATAACATGATATTTTTCAAGTTATTCGCGATTGAAAGTAACAACTTTTAGACGAAAAAATCCACGTTTTTAATCGATTTTTCGCGAATAACTCGAAAATGGCGCATTTTATCAAAAAAATTGTAGAGAACAAATTTGTAGCTTTTAAAAAGACAAATACAATTACAAATACAATATCAATGTACAGCGGTTTTCTTCAAATGCCAAATTTGAAAGATTCAAAGTCAAATATCGGGAAAATGATGCATTTTTGGAAGAAAACTCACAAAACCTTTTTTAAAGAGCATAAATAGACCTATCATAAAAAAATAAGGTCAATACCTCATTTTTTACGAAAAAATCGAGGAAAACAACACCCTAACCACCCCCATAATTAAAATCGATCTTCACCCTTCTGCAATTCCCTTTGTAGATGTATTGTTAATACGTCCAAGAAATTTGACCCATTTAAAATGCTTAGTTTTAGAAAAAGTACAGCTTAAAGCGAGAAACGATTTACAATTTCATATTTTTTACCCTTCTTTTTTTAAATATGCCCGAAAATACTGAATATATGAAAAAAATAAAAATTACCAAATTGTAGCTTTTTTAATGTTTAAAATTATCCTTTATTTAAATTTGTTGTACAATGAATATTTGGCGAGATATAGCCGTTTAAAGCATCGATTTACGATCAAGCACCATATTTTTCGAGCCCTTTAAACTCACCCTATTTAAAAACCAAGGGTTCCAAAAAGATTTAATTCACAGATCCTTGTAGCTATTAAAAACCTCTACAAATCGTTTTTGAAGAAACATCTATCGTTAAAAATTAAAGGAAATACGTTAAAAAAAACCAGTTAATTTTTTTCCGAAAAATTCCATTAGTATAGTACAGTACATTTCGGAGCATAATAATCTACAAAACCGGTATATTAGCTAGTGGGGCGTTATACATTCGAAATTTTAAGCGTTCTTATTTTGAAATCCCATACAACAGAATAAAACATCTGCTCATATGTCTATGCCATGGCAATGAAAATATCAGAGCAACAGATTGGGGATGGTTTTCCAAAGATGGTTTGTTATTACCCGTACGCATGAACAAACAACCTGCACCCGATAAATTTTTGAAAATTATTTTTTGCCAATGCAAAAAAGGATGCGGCGTTTCATATGGGTGCAGAAAAGTTGGTTTATACTGTAACTCTTCTTGTTCTGGGTGCTTAGGTGAAGGGTGCAATAACAGTCCACCAATAATTGAGGAAGATGATGATGACATAGATCACGATGAAGATGTAATTGATGACGAATAAAATTAATATTATAATTGTTTTACCTATAAATGTAAATATTTTCAACTATTTATGTAAATGTATAAGAATATAATTATGGTGCCTTTTTATGTTGATAATTTTTTTTGTATTTAATTCTACTTTTTTCAATTTATATCTTATAAATTAGTTTATAAAAACTGCAATGTTGTAAAGGGTGATTTTCAAAAGTTGAAAAGTTGCAAAATTTTGGCAAAAAATTGTTTTCACCTATAGCACTCATAACAATTAATTTTTAAGGGTTGAAAATGTATGAATTTGTATTTTAAAGTATAAAAAACTCACTATTTAACTAATCCAAACCAAATTTCACTCATCTTAGGATTTGTAATATTATTTTACAATTTTTGAAAATTAGGGGTAGTTTTCACCCCTAAGAACAATCAGGGTTCATCGGCATGACATAAACTATAAAGCAGAGGGTAAGTAGAGCTTAATTCCAAATTTTTATGCAACTCGTTCCAAGGTGAAATCATTTTCTTCGCATTACTAATTTTTTTATATTAATCTCTAATGAGGGTCGCTTTTTAAGGGTTAAAATATGATGGAACTTTATTGAAAAGCACGAAACTATCAATATTTAATTAATTCAAACCAAATTTTACCCATATTCAGGTTTAATATGTTATTTTATAATTTTTGACAATTAGGGGTAGTTTTCACCCCTAAGAACAATCAGGGTTCGTCGACATGACATAAACTATAAAGCAGTGGGTGAATTGAGCTTAAATCCAAATTTTTATCCAAATCGATCCAAGGCGAAATCATTTTTTTAGAATTAGTAATTTTTTACATTAATCTCTAACAAGGGTTGCTTTTTAAGGGTTGAAATATGATGGAACTCTATTCAAAAGTATAAAATAATCATTATTTAATTAATTCAAACCAAATCTTACCCATATTCAGGTTTAATATGTTATTTTATAATTTTTGACAATTAGGGGTAGTTTTCACCCCTAAAACCCTTCAGCGCACTTCGGTTCGATATAGATTTTGATCCTTGGGCTATTACCTACCTTCTGCTTAATTTCAACTGGATACATGCAGGACGAAAAAATTGCGAGGTTTTAACTTTTTTCGAACTTCGGTTTCTGAACTATTATCGTCTCCTTAGACAAACCCGTCTTACGCAAACAACTTTGTTGCGAGACAGATAGTTGAACGATATTTTATACAATGTCTATACCCAGGTATGGATTTATTTTTGTCCAAGTTTTATATTGGTCCACTATTTTAAATGCAGTTCAAACAGACATGTATTAAATTGTATGTTCCGTTTTAATTTGGTTCAATCTGTATATATATATATATATATATATATATATATATATATATATATATATATATATCCATTATAGAAATACGAGCTCTTAGCATCTGTCATGCACATTACTTTTATGCTGTATTTCGCAGGTTTACTGGGCATGTAAATTCGAAAACCACAGTGACCTCTAAATGGTAGTAGCATCTCATCCACAGTTACATAATCTGACAACGTGTATAGCGTCTGTGAATTGGTCGCAAAATTAGTAAAAATATTTGAAATAGCCGCTGTTTTATCAGTTTTCTTTCGTTCTTCGCATCTTTAAAAAACTGTTAAAGCATATCTTCATGAGATTTTATAATTGAAGATTACATAAAAAGCCCAAGCAAAGTCTTCAACTCAACTATATGTGTGCTTCTGTAGTTTGATGTATTAGTCGAATCAGATAACTTTACTCTCATTATATTAATTTTTTGGTTTGTCCATGTTACAATTTGTTTCAACATTTCATCAGTAACCAACAACTTCTTAATATCTGATTTAGAAGCGCTATTTTCCAGAGTCCTGCTTACCGTTGTCAGGCCTCATAATTCTTTGACAATTTTATGTGTTCGTGTCCTCGTATTTCTCGGAGGCTCCGTTCCCTGCCACTGGAAACCATTTTTTCCTTTGAATATGTTCACATCCACTTCTACTTGTAAAAAGTCGTTACTGGATTGCTAATCATTCGTCGGTTCATCTAATTCCAAAAGTTCGTGATCTGAATTCGATTCTTCGCTGCTAGAAGGTTCACTTTGCCGAATAACATAGTCGGGACCTTTATCCGAATCATCTATAACATCTCTTATGTCCTCGTCACTACCTTGATCTGATAAATATAAATCTTAAACGTCGACAAGTAGTAATCTTTGTTTATTTTTTTTTAAATCTGGGTCAGCCAGATTTAAATTTTTATTACGGCCAGTTCCGCTAGGTCCTGCGCTATCCATTATTACTACAAAATTAAATTTTTTTAGAGTAATTATGTTTATTATACAAAAAATATGAAATACTTTATTGTTTATCAGTACACAATCCGTAACAAGTGGCCTTATAGACCTATCATAAAAACACTGCAATTCGAAACATCTGGCTTACTAGACCTATACGTTTTGAAAACTATTTACTACTTACTACGACGTAAACACTAAAGCGATCGCTACGATACTGCAGAACCAGAGAACTAACGACCACAGCAGAACTATGTTTGTTTTACACTATTAAGAAGATATTTAAAAGGACAGTACATGTGGCCTACACTGTTGCCGTCATTAGCAGACTATCCTTTCGCTGTGGTCCGTTAGACCCATGTTTCGGGTTAAGGGTTAAGTTACTTTGAACGTAGCTGTGATTGGAGCAGTAGTCACTTTCTGTCAGTTGCTGTTGCGTGAAGTATATTTCCGACTTAGCTCGTATGCATTAAATGATAACCATGAACTTAACTGTACACGTATAAAAAAATATACAAGAATAAAGATATTGATAGGAAAAAAGGAATATTATTATTTTATACAAAATACAAAACATATGTCTTACCTCATTTAGACCCCAACCCGCAGCGGTAACAACAGTACCCGTTGGTACTTCAGCATCTTGTTTTAGTAGAGGTATGGGCTGAATCTTATTGGAGAATTTAACTTTTTTAGCTAACTAAAATAATTATTAAACAAGTTAATAATTTTGTAAATGTAAAATGTACATAAAAATATAATACAACATCCTATATGTTTATATATATATATATATATATATATATATATATATATATATATATATACAGGGTGGTGAATCGTCAAACGGGCCATAGGAAACTCAATGGGAAATTCCAAATTGTTGAATTCCTGCTTCCCTAATTATTTTACACCAAAAGTCATGGGAAACTATTTGTAGAGGACTCAAATATGTATCGAAAACAACTGTTAAAATTATTCTACGACTTAAACGTATTCCAAAATTTTGCTAAAATATAATATATTTTTCTGTGAAAAAATGTGTATTACGTGTTGCGTTTTGTCATATTATTGTTTCTGATATTTGACAATATTTAAATCAATTATATTACATTTATCTATGATTTAAATGGCCAAAATTTTGTGATTTATTGTTGATGTTGAAAAATTAAGTTGATTAAAAAATGTACTCAGTTGAGAAGAAAAAAGCAATAATAAAAATGTTTTATTCATGTTTTATTATAACATTTGTTATAGTTTTATGTTTAGAAATTATCATATATTATTATTAGGAATAAAGATCACAGTAACAGTATATTGGAATTCATTGAATTGTTGTATAACTTAACATGGAATTAAATTTTAGTGAATTAGAATATCTTACGTTAAATAAAGATCCGGTAGTGGCAGGAAAAGGTTCGCGCTATTGCCTGAATACAACATTATGCGATTTTTCGTCAACTGAGTACATTTCATTATATTGATCGATTTGTAAACAATATAATTTATTGTTCACAAAGTAATAATGTTTATTAGTAGGAGTATTTAGTAAAATTCATTGTTTATAATTAATTCATAAAATAAAAAAATTGACAATTCAAATTGTCAAACATCTGACATAAATATGATAAAACACAAACGTCCTAATATATATTCTTGCATTACGTGTGGCCTAACTTTTAGGGGTGGCCTGAAAAATTTATTATATTTTTGCAAAATTTTTAAGTACATTTGAGTCGTAGAACGGTTTTAACATTTGTTTTTAATTCAGATTTTAGTCCTCTACAAATGGTTTTTTATGACTTTTGATCTAAAATAATTAGGGAAGCAGCAATTCAACAATTTAAAATTTCTCATTGAGTTTCCTATGGTCCGTTTGACGATTCACCACCCGGTATATAGAAAAGAAATTTAATTTTTGCAGATAAGTTAAATAGTAAACTCTTAAATATTGGGGAAATCTGCAAAAAAACTCTAATGTGTATCAATTATTTCACCTAACGTTTTCGCCAAAGAGAATTAATTTGGCTTCTTCAGGGCTGAAAGAGAATAAATTATAATTAGCTACCATATATTATCTAATAAAAAACATTTACCTTACCGTGAAATTTTAGAAATGTCGAGTTATGATGTTAAAAAACTTTAGCTAGTAACAACATAGTGGTGTTTTTTTGTTACTATGTGCAAAAAAGTTTATTTGTTAACGTTGGAAATGTATGGTAGCTTTGAACTTAAAACGAAAAGGTTTACCCAAGGACAATCGAAAAACCCAATGTAACTACATTTAAAGGAAGTAATTCTTTGAATTGTCGGCAATAACTAAATTTTTAATTGTTTGAATGTGAGCTTCTGTTTTCATAGAACGCAAGCGCCAAAACAATTACAAGTAGTTCTTTTGATATGTATGTCGTTAAGGTGTTATATATATATATATATATATATATATATATATATATATATATATATATATATATATATATATATATAGGAAGAATGATCACAGCTGTCTAATTATTAAATAGTATAATGGTAAGGTTAATTGGGTTAGCAGCAGTTCAGCTGCTAACCCAATTAACCTTACCATTATACTATATATATATATATATATATATATATATATATATATATATATATATATATATATATATATAATATATATAACAAGCGAGTCTTCTACAGCTAACGCCGCTTCTCGCATCCTAATTTCCAGCGTTTTCTGTCGAAGCAATCTTCATTTTTTAGATCTCTGGCGGTCATTGCATCATCGACATCGTCTCTCCAGGATCGTCTTGGTCGACCTCGTTTTCTTCTAGTTGGCAGAGTCCATTCTTCTATTTTTTTGGCCATCTATTTTCCGGCTTTTGTCTTCTGGCTTCGATTGTGTCTATTATATCTAGATCGATTTCCATTTCTCTCCGAATATCTTCGTTTCTCACCCTATCAAGTCTATTGAGCTGGCAACATCGTCTCCAGTAGTTCATTTCCATGGCCTTAATTTTTGATTGGTTTCTTTGGTTTATTTCCCAGAGTTCGGCGCCGTACAGTCCAATACTTTTTATTATTGTTTTATAAATTCTTCTTTTATTTTATAATGTTATTTTTTTATTCCATAATAGTCCGTGTAGCTGTCTGGTGGCTGATCTTGCTTGGCCAATCCTGGAATGTATTTCTTCGCTACTTCCTGTTTTTGATGTTATTTGGACTCCCAAGTACTTAAGATTGTCTGTTGGTTTTATAGTTCCCATTTCGATTTGTAGGCTTTCTGGTTTTTCATCTACAACTAAGTATTCAGGTTTTTGTATATTAATTGTGAGGCCCCATTTGGTATACTCATCTTCCAGTTTTCTAAGCATGTAGCTTATATCACTCTCGACTTCAGCTAGAATGGCTTGGTCGTCAGCGAAATGTATCGTGTACAATCTATCATCTCCGATTGGGATGCCCATATATGTTTTTTATACTTATTTATTTACTATATATTAAGTAAACTCAACTATACTAACCATAAAACTAATGAAGTCATTGCAAATGTTGTAAACTAAAGTGATGATGGAATATTAAACAAAGAAAATGTAATTTTCCAAAATGCATTTCGAACTGGGGTCAGGTGCCAGGGTTATAGATTCGGCGACAGAAACGATAAGCGAAGCTATTATGGCGGCTTACCAAGAAAACTGTCCAGCAAAAACAAGGAAAAGTACGGGAAGTAATACAGTCTAGTGCAACAACGGCTTAAAGAGAATGAGGTCAAAAGTTCGAAGCCAAAGTAAACAAGATTGGGATGCCTGCAGGTATAAGCTAACGCTATACAATAAAGAAATTCGGAACGCTAAAAGCAATTCATAAAGAGAGTTTTGCGAAGAGATTACAGATATCTCGGCATGTTCTCGATTCTCACCATCATTTTGTGGTGCTACCACAAAAGAAGTAGGTTTCTTAAAAAAAGCTTATGGCAAATTTACGGGCACCAAAGAGGAAAGTCTTAGATAACTGATAACCATGCACATTCCAGATTCAACAATTCTGGATGATGCAGATAGGCAAACCAACATAGACCAAAGGCTCACAAGGCCAGAGTCTACAGATTCGGAAATAGCCACAGAAATCACAAGACCAAACAAAATTATATGGGCTATAAATAAGATTCATACATTCAGAAAACTACACAGAAAGCTACTATGTCCCAGGGCAGATGTAAAAGAATGTGCGGTAAGAATTGATTACTTAACCCCAAAATGACTCTTTGGTTATACACAATTGCTCTATTAAATGGAGGAATCTGAAATAAGAATATTTTACCTACAAGTATACTGAGCTACTTACTACTCACAAAGAGTGGCGCTAACCGGCTGATCGTCGAAAACTTTTTTACCGGGTGATTATTTGTAACCTTGATGTGCATAGTTGTATTCAGTAATTTTGTTGTGACAAATTAAGCTGTTGTTTTTGTTGATTTAAATAAAATAATCGGTAAGTATACACTATTAATACATAGAATCTAATGGAATAGTTAGTTTTTTGGTATAACTGGGGAAACATTTATTAATCGTTTATTTTGATTTGCTTTTTCATTTAAAGGTTATGGGGTAAGAGCGTAGTTATATACGGGGGAAAGTGGACACAGTTGCCCCACAGTGTAATTTTGGCGAAAAGTGTGTTTTATTTTTAGGTTAGACTAAATAAATATTATGGTTCAAAAATTTATTCAAAAATCTGAAAGAGGCAAGAATTATTTGAAGGAAACTCTTCTTAAGACTATAGAAGATGTTAAAAGTGGAAGGTACCTACTCTGCATATGCGGCAAGTAAATTACACAAAATTCCTCCAAATACTATACTCGATCACAGTAAAGGAAGGCGACGTAAGAAGTCGTGCTGCAGAACTTTCTACAGAGGACGAAAATAAATTAGTTCATCGTTTAACATCGTATAACTTCTGGATTTGGTCACTCACGAATGAAAGTAATGCATTTAGTGGGCAAATACGTTAAAGCAAATTAACTAAATACTCCGTTTCAAAATGGAATTACTGGAAAATACTTGCTTTTTTCCTTTATATAACGTCATAATCGATATGTTAAAAAGGCGGACAATGTTGAGATAGCAAGAAGAAAGAGTATTGAACCTTTCATAATAAATACTTATTTTGATTTAGTTTTAAAAACTATTTATAATCTGGGTAATAAAAATAAACCACATTTAATTTTGAATTCAAACGAAACAAGTTTTTGTTCCGATCCGTCAAAAACTGTAGTCGTAGGAAAAAAAGATGCCAAGGCGACCAGGACGATAAGCACTCCCGGGAGAGAAAATACATCAGTGCTTTTTGCATGCAATGTGAAAGGTGAAAAATCCTCTCTTTTAATTATATTTAAAGTGAAGCAAATATGGATGCAAACCGACGTCTTTGAAAACTATTTTAAACAGTTTTGTGACGATTATAAAACTACCGCCACTTCCTCCAGCTGCTTGATTTGACGGTAATGAAAGCACTTAAAAATAGATGGGATCCTTTACTGGTATTATGGCAAAGATTGCATATTGGTCAAAAACTACCAAAAGCTGAAGTTTCTGTATTCTTTAGAAAAATATGGACTAGTCTTCCAGGCGAAATTATGTCAAATCGTTGCAGAAAACCGGGAATATATCCTTTTAACGATAAAGTAGTCTCCAAGGAAACATTTGATTTAGATCCCTTTCAGAGATCAAAAGATTAGTTAAAAGTCTCAAACCCTCCAGCTAAGTCAAACGAGACTGCTTCTACCTCTACATTTTTATTTCACAGTTGTGTATTTTCTCGGCATTCTTTGATCGTTGATCCGCTCGATACTGCGTTTTCAAATAAATATTTTGCGTTCCCGTTCCCGTCTAGTTTATACTAAGTTGGAAGCGAATGAGTTTTAAGAATTACAGCATTCTCGCTGAGGTCTCTGCCAGAGGCAGTTGATTTCAGCGTATGTCCAAATGTTTCATCAAATTTGTATTGTCCTTTTGTTCTTTGTCTTACGTTATGAAAAATAAGTAAAGTGGCAGTTAATTGTTCATTTAATAGTTACAGTTAAAGTAGGATTTAAAATATACCCACATTGTTTCAGTCTTTTCAAGAAGCAGAGATCCAATGTTTGTGTTCCAGTGCCCAATTTAAAATCTTAATTTTGTGTTGTCCTATCACAGTGGAGATGAATTTGTTCGAGTGGTACAGAGTTTGAGTTTCAGTGAAGTCTAGTTTCTAGCCCCAGATTTTTTGTGTAAAACCCCAGTGTAATCAAGGTAATTTATTTGTGTTTAAATTTTAAACTAAAAATAGACGGTTTTTAATATTAATAATGGCTTTTATTAAAATTTAAGAATTTGTAATAATAAAAATATATGTATTAGGTCGTGGCCATAGCTGTTATTTTAATTGTTCTGTTTTAAATTTAATGTTGACATATGACAGCTCGTTTCATTATTTTTGATATTAATTTGTTTTTGTTTTTTAAAGGTTAACCTTTCTATGAATAGTTTTATTTTAAAAATATTTCTTAATTTATAACAATTTTTTTGTAAGTTTTGTAGCAATTCCTACTTGTAAACAGAGCTCGTAAACAGATAGGACAAAGTAAGTGTTTTTTTGTTATTTTGGTATTTATCTTTGTGACTATTAATATAGTATATGTTTGTGCCATCTATATTTTGTAACTGTTTATGGTGAGGCAAAATAAATGTTTAATTTTTTTTTAACTATTTTGTTTATTTCTCGTTATAACCCCCGTTTTTGAGTTTAATGTAAAAAAGATATATTTTTCATTTCCAATAATTATTTCAATAGTTACCTACAACTAGTTTTTGTAATCGTTAGAATTTGGTACCTCGAAGCGGCGTCCATTTTAAATTGCTAGAGGTCTTTCTTATCTGTTTGTTTTGTTCGTTCCAAGAGGTCTATGTAAGTAACCCCTTTGTTTATTTTTTTGTAGTTGATCCAATCCTAACCCCCTTGCTATTCACTTGTCCACGACCCAGCTATTCCAAATAAAACCTGAGTGCCGTTCGCATAAGTAACGTTTATTTTACTTGTCCTATCTCCATCCCCAATCTTTTCTATCGCAATTGTCAAGCCCTTATAATACTACCCTATATGGTAGGCAAAATATTTTCGTTACAAAATTTGGTGCCCAACGTTTGTGGCATTTTTTAAATCGTGAATACTCCTACAAGTAGTCTTACCAGAGTGAGATAAATTCTTTTCCCCCAAGTCATTTCTTTTATAAATTGTCCCTAGTTTTCTGTCATTTATATAAAACCCCCTCTTTTCAGATAGTTCCCCAGTGTCTCACAAACAATGTTTGTTTATGTATTGTATATTAACATATGTATTTGCTGTACATGAACATATGTATAGTTGTTTTTTTATGTAATGTACTGTATGTATGTACACACAAAAACACAAATCATGACAAATCTTGCGTTAAGCGAAAAGATTTCAGTAAATGGCATGCATATTGTAGAAACCACCTCTTATAAGTACTCAGGACATGAGATACGCATAGGAAGAGATAATCAAACGTGCGAACTAAGCCGCCGCATAGGAC